CTATCTTCCATGTGGCATCAGAACGGGAATTGAAATATTCCAGGCTATGTCTGTGTGTAATTCTGGATGAAAGAGGGGCAACATTGCCGGGATGCTTCCCATGTCGCTCTGCTCTGACTTGTTTGGGCATCTGTTGTGCTCTGATTATGGAAAAAAAGACATGCAGATAAACATCACTGCAGATAGAGAAAGACTAAAAGTGGCGTATCAGACGAGCAAAGGCAAAATCTCCTCTGTCTTAGACCACCACTGAGGGAACCCATAGCAGGAGGTCCACATACACCCACAGAGCAACTTCTCTGTCTAGAAATAGACACTATTAAATGTAAATAGACAGAGCAGCCAACTGTTGACGCAAGTATTTCAATTAACAACCGAAGAGCAAACATGCTAAAGCTAACCGTTTCAACCACAGTCACAGCTTGTTTGAACATTCAAAAAGTCAACCACGGGTGTAATGCAAGGATATTTCCGAGTCATTAGGCAGACTATATATAGTGTAAATGTCCTGTACGTGTTTTAGGGTGAGTTCTTGTGTAGAGTAGGCAACTTCAGCTTCTTTTTTAGGAAAATAAGGGACATACATTTGAGATTGATGCCTGCAGCTAAAAACTGCCTGAAAGGATTAAGTGCTGAAATGCATTTCAGATTCAATCACCAATCTCTTTTTGGCTCAATTACATATATAATATATATATATATACTCACCTAAAGGATTATTAGGAACACCATACTAATACTGTGTTTGACCCCCTTTCACCTTCAGAACTGCCTTAATTCTACGTGGCATTGATTCAACAAGGTGCTGAAAGCATTCTTTAGAAATGTTGGCCCATATTGGTAGGATAGCATCTTGCAGTTGATGGAGATTTGTGGGATGCACATCCAGGGCACGAAGCTCCCGTTCCACCACATCCCAAAGATGCTCTATTGGGTTGAGATCTGGTGACTGTGGGGGCCATTTTAGTACAGTGAACTCATTGTCATGTTCAAGAAACCAATTTGAAATGATTCGAGCTTTGTGACATGGTGCATTATCCTGCTGCAAGTAGCCATCAGAGGATGGGTACATGGTGGCCATAAAGGGATGGACATGGTCAGAAACAATGCTCAGGTAGGCCGTGGCATTTAAACGATGCCCAATTGGCACTAAGGGGCCTAAATTGTGCCAAGAAAACATCCCCCACACCATTACACCACCACCACCAGCCTGCACAGTGGTAACAAGGCTTCTGTTCTCATTCTGTTTACGCCAAATTCTGACTCTACCATCTGAATGTCTCAACAGAAATCGAGACTCATCAGACCAGGCAACATTTTTCCGGTCTTCAACTGTCCAATTTTGGTGAGCTCTTGCTAATTGTAGCCTCTTTTTCCTATTTGTAGTGGAGATGAGTGGTACCCGGTGGGGTCTTCTGCTGTTGTAGCCCATCCGCCTCAAGGTTGTGCGTGTTGTGGCTTCACAAATGCTTTGCTGCATACCTCGGTTGTAACGAGTGGTTATTTCAGTCAAAGTTGCTCTTCTATCAGCTTGAATCAGTCGGCCCATTCTCCTCTGACCTCTAGCATCAACAAGGCATTTTCGCCCACAGGACTGCCGCATACTGGATGTTTTTCCCTTTTCACACCATTCTTTGTAAACCCAGAAATGGTTGTGCATGAAAATCCTAGTAACTGAGCAGATTGTGAAATACTCAGACCGGCCCGTCTGGCACCAACAACCATGCCACGCTCAAAATTGCTTAAATCACCTTTCTTTCCCATTCTGACATTCAGTTTGGAGTTCAGGAGATTGTCTTGACCAGGACCACACCCCTAAATGCATTGAAGCAACTGCCTGTGATTGGTTGATTAGATAATTGCATTAATGAGAAATTGAACAGGTGTTCCTAATAATCCTTTAGGTGAGTGTATATATATATATATATATATATATATATATATAAAACTAATAAAAATGCAAATATATATGAAAATATAACAATTAAAGCTAATCCAAAATATTAATAAATACTACAATAGTATATCAATTATAATAAAATACCACTGGAACAGAGTTAAAGTTAATCTTTTAAGTGCTTATTATTTTAGACATTTTAATTTTAATATTAGCGGCCTCAAACAAAGGTGAAACATGTCTATCGTGCCTTGTTTTCCACTCTAATCTGTCATTTTTAACATTAACAGACCAAACCATTAAACTCTAACAGACCAAACAGATTCTAAATGCAGAAGCATTCTCAGCTGTTCAGGTGCAAGATGCTAAAATACAACACACTTCTGATTTAATACGGAACAAATTTCTTTTCCCACACTGAATATATATATTTTTTGTTTGTTTATGTAGTGCTGACTACTTTGCATTGTGGATGCAGCATCAAGCAAATATTTTCTTTGTAATTTGCCATTGGAGTGATCCACATAATCAGCCATGATTAATTTATTCCACATGCAAAAGTGAACCCGGTGTAAAATAAAACAGCTTTTTATTAGACTACTGATATGACTCTTCATCTCATTAGAGCGTTTATGATTTTAAACAACTGACTATTTCTTTCTTTATTATAACAAAAGGAAACATGAAACTTTATAAATGGGACGTTTCTGCACTATAACAAATGCTTGGGAACCCAATCAGTGTGCATATGCATTTAAAGTAAGTGTGTGTGTGAGTGTGCATTTGTAGTCACCCAGCTGCCCGATAGCATATACGGGATGCGAATGTGTGATGATTAGAGCGTGGATCTTATCTTATGCACAGGGGCACGATTCTGCTTTTGTTCCGCGCCAGACCCCCTTCGCGCCCACCTGGGCTGGCCTGGACCTCCTGCTGCTTGGACGACCGCCACGTGTTAGCCTTCACTGGTTTGGAACCGCTGCGGCATCTCTGGTTTAAACTGAGGAAGCGAGGGGGGGGTATACTTTCTTTCATATCTCAAAGCATTAGACAGAATTACGCACCAAGCCAGCACACACACTAAAGCCACATCTCCACATGATCAAACAGATGACTGATTGTAGGCCTCAGGGGAAAGAGAGAAAGGGGGGATAAAGAATGAAATGGGTGGTGGTTTTCCAAAGAGGCTTTGCACCTCAATGACATCAAATCTGTGTGTAGAGTGTGTGACAAAGAAGGCAGCGAGACAAAAAAATGGTTTTGATTAGAGAGCTGTTTGTGGTTTTGGGTGCATGGGTGTGTTAGATTGGAAGCTGCCGCCATTATAGACAGCAATGTGAAGGGAAAATCCAGAAAGTCAGCAGAAAAAGGAACAAGAAAGAGAGAGATTATGTCCATAAATGTATGTGGAAACCAAAAGGATCCTGTGGGGGGCGATGCAACCACGTCTTGGGAATATAATGTAACACTTCTCTTCTTCTTACATATGAGCTAAATATAAGTTTCTTCCTGGTGTAATGAATGGTTAAAGGTAAAGGTGTAATTTGGCACCATTAGTGATACCAAATAAAACCCCTAAAATGATGATTGCTTTTAAACAGGTTTCCCAAACAGTCCGTCTCCCATTGGTTGGACAAACAGATGATCCTGCCGCAAATTCATGCTATTGGTTGAGTCAATGTTGCATTTTTAGACTGGTCTGAGTGTTTTAGCTAAAATAACAATGTTTTGAAAGCACCAGCGACACTTCTCAGGGGTTTTAATTTGGTTTGGCTTAGTATTGGGATAGAATAACGTTTCTTAATGTATTTTATTACCTATAACTATTAAGATATGTTTTGCCTAAGCAGTGAAATAACAATAAACTGCGCATTCATGCCATCTCTCATTACTAGCAAAACCACTGGTGATCCTTATGAAACATGAACTGTACTGACAGTTACCTTTAATTCTGAAATTCAGCTATTTCCTCAAATAAACTTGAAATGTGAAGAACTGAGTTTGTGCAGCTTGCCTGGCAATTAGACACTGAATTTTTATCATCACAGCAAACCACAAGTGGTGAAACGCAGCAACATGGTCTGGCGCTCCTCAGGGTTATGTCCGCAGTCCAACTCTGTTCTCACTCATCACTCCTTAACTGCAACAAACACATTACTAAATGAATGATTGAATGACACAACAGTCACAAACAGTTATGAGGCTGCAGCCAAAAATGACATCACAGATGGCTTAACAAAAATTCAGATTCAGAATATGGACTTAATGAGTACTTGCGACAGTTCATATGTGAAAATATTTCAGGTTTTGTAGGTTATAGATTTAAATGACCTAACCTAGCCCACTAAAACACTCTAATCCACCCCATGCACTTCCAAAAAAGTAAACTCTTGAACTTGTTCTCAGGAACAGAACACACAATCCAAATCACGCAGGTCATAAACACTTCAGTATGCATTGGCTGCAGCATTGAAACCCAAAGTGCCAGTTTCAAGAGGTTCTCATCAGCACGTTAAACACCATTAGATTTATACGCATATTTTACTAATAAACCTCACATGCATTAAATAAATGTAATATCGTATAATAGTAGATATATTATTTAGAGCTGATATTTTAATGCTATCTAGGGTCATACATTAACAGATTTATTTTGTTGGATTATACTTCCACTGTGTTATCTCTATTTCAAAACCATAGTGGCTGGCAAAGTCAAGATAGAATTTCAACATACTGTACATAAAACGGCATATATAAAAAACTTTTCTTCTTGGATGGCCAAAGTGCCATTGCTTTTTAACACCTACTATACCCATGTTATATGTGTGTATGAGGTAAACTGAGAAAATATTTAAAATGACAGAGTTTATGCAGGAAACCATTGCATCTGTCAAACTGTTTAAATATACAAACATGAGTGTGGGTTTGATTAACACATTTATGTTGAATTTAATGTTGTGGGCACTGGGCAGGTTTCTCAACTTGCTGGCTTTGATTGTGCCCTTTTGCACCTTACCCTGCTCCCCAGAGGGTTAATACTGGGAGGTTACAAGTTCCCTCCTCTTTTCTCTCTCTCCCCCTCTCAGATTCTCGCTCCGCTCTCTCAACTGAGTAACCCAAAGACAGACTCTTACAAGCACCACACAGGTTTAACATCACCAAAGAGAGCACAGAATCAACAGGGGACGTATTTTCAAGCACTATCAAGAAAGGAGATCCTGAAAACTCAGTCAAGGAGTCCTACCATGAATGGAAAACTTCATGTTTGAAGATGAAACGTATCAAAAGTGGATTAAATTAATCTGCATATCTGGTAATATCTTATCTGAAACGCTCTCATTGACGTGTGACTATCCAGGAGAGGAGCATTTCCAGATTTCTGTCCTTTATTTTAAGTGATTTGGAGAGTACAAGTACCGGATCATGGCTGGGGTGAGACTTATTCACCTGTTGAAGACATTTTGGATGGTATTTCTCATGCAAGGTTAGTTAATTTGTTGTCTTGTACCCTCTTTTTCTCTGTTCTTTGATTTGTAGCAAATGGTTTGACCTATTTCAGGACACTATTCAAAATGCTAAAAGGTGCATGATTACACTTCTGATATATGAACTTTTGAATTGTATGCACTCAATGTTTTCATCCATCTCTTTTGGTTCCCATAGAACCAAAATTGGTTTTTTTACATTGTCATGGCACTAAAAAACCTTGTCAAGTAATACAAAGAGCTTTTTATTCTCTAGTTCTTTAGAAAACAATCTGTTGCTTTAAAGCAGTGGTTCTCAATCTTGGTCATTTTGAATGTCTCCCTTATCTGACACACCCAATTCAGGTATTGGAGCCTCTACTAATGAGCTGATGATATAAATCAGTTAAATAAGTGAGACATCCAAAATGTGCAGTGCTGCAGGACTTCAGAACCAGGATAAATGTGACTGTTGAATGACTGTTGTAAAGAAACCAAATATGATTTTCTCAGCCTGCCCTACAACGGCATTAATCTAATTAATATAAAAAACACCATAGAGCAATTTAAGAACACTAAATAGCCAAACGGATTCTATAGGTAACAAATGTGTTCTTTGCTGAACCCGAAGAACCTTGATTTTTTTGTTATCATAGTACAGCCTATATTTACCATTTATCACAGATCAAAGCAGGCAAAACAGTCATTATAAATCAGAAACATATACCTATGATTCATTAAATGATATGGCACATCTAAATTAATGAATGTTATTATGGTATTAATGTTAATGCAAATAAATAATAATGCAAATTATGAGAATCTTACGTATAAGCTTAAAGCTTAAGAATGACTTCTTGTTAATGTGTGAAAGTATGAGAGTTGCCAAGCAAAACACCTTCATTATCGAGACCAACAAGTCTGAGCATTTTCTTACTGTATCAAGAAAGTTTTTTAACGGCGTCTTTTCCCCCCTCTGGATTTCACAAGTGTAATTAGGATCTAAAGGATGACAAAGAGCTCTCAAGATAAGGTTCGGTTAAAGTTTTGGGGTTTAATTAACCTTAATAAAACCCATGACGAAACTAAACTTGAATTGGCAAACTTAAAGGGGTCATATAATGGTACATGCACTTTTTCAAGTTGATTGTACTGAAATGTGTGTTGGCAGTGCCTGTACACAACCATCATATAATGATAAAAATCCATCCAGTGTTTTTGTTTTAATCTCCTTATATGTTTTCCCCTGCCTCAAATCAAGCCGTTCGACCGTGTGACGTCACACGCTCGGAAGCCCCTCCCACGATTGTTGATTGACAGCAGCGTTTCAACACAGACCCGCCCTCGCTCGTGAGCGAGCTGTCAATCATAGTCTGCGCGGACCGGCGCGGTCATTGTTGATATGCTGGAGCACTGTCTATGAGAGAATGGCGTCTAAGCGATTGTGGTGTTCTGTTCTTGGCTGCAATAAGGAACACAGCAGTCATTTTAATGTTCCTAAATCCGAACCGCTGAAGACGCAGTGGCTGTGTTTGTTTTCGAAGGGAATATTCCCCACGAGCAACGTCAATGCTTTCATGTTTGCGCGAATCATTTCTCACACCAGACTGCTTTATAAACGAGGGTCAGTATAAAGCTGGATTTGCTAAGAAGCTGCTCCTGAATAAAGGATCTGTACCAACTATTTGTGCTCCTGCTGAACCTCCAGAAGAACTGAAGTGAGTGTAACGTTTTATTAATCTTTATATTAATATTTATATTAATCTTTGCAAATCGCTAGCTGCACGCTTCACAATGAATGCGTCTAAGGTTTACACTTAGGGTACATTACGGCATGTTTTCTATGTACGACGTTCTCAATATAATTCATAATCCCACATTTATACTGAACAACGCGTTATGGTTATTGTGTTACAAATGGTGTATGCACAGAACAGAGAGGCGGGGTGAGCAAAGCTCATTATCATTTAAAGGCATATGCACTGAAACGGCGTGCTGAAAACAGAGTTGTTTTTGACCATGGAGGTAAAATAAGTGTTTTCTTACAATACTAATGAGAATTTTTAATTAAAGTATATTACAAACTTTTAATTTAGACCCTACAGATTCATATTATCTTGTACAAAAATGGCATTATATGACCCCTTTAATACTCATGGAAGAAAAACAAAAGATGGTTTTTCGGCTTTTTTTAAAAACTCTCTAGTGGTTTAACTTGCCAAGTCTGCTTTAAAGCTTGCCGTGTTTATAAAATGCAACTCATGCTTACTGAACTAATACTGCATTGGTCATTCTTTGCTGTTGAAATCATTGCTGATGTCGATGGGACATTTGTGCATGTCTAGAAAATGCTTCTATTTTGTATGCAAAAGTGTTCATTACAATTTATTTAATCAGATTTAGAGTTTCAGCAAAAGGTTAAATTGTAAAATGTTGAATTTCAGACTTTTAAAGCCCACATTCTCAAAAAAGAGCATATTTGCGGCACCTTCCATTCATCGTTGTGGTCTAGAAGGTTCTTTGGAGATGGAAAAAGTTATTGATGTTACATTTATTGGTTCTTCAGATCATGGTTTCTGGCTTCTTTAAAGCACTGTGATGGTTTTTGAATAAAAGTTGTTTTAGGAAATTTAAAAGGTTCTCCAATGGCATAAGGTTATAATTTTCATTTTTAAGAGTGCACGAGTAACATAAATTTGACTTGTTCTCCAGGAAAATGAGTCAGTCAGGTGGAGTTTAAAGAGGTCTTAATATAAATGGCAAAGAGTTTGTCTCGACACTGTGATTCTCACCTTTCCCCGTGCACGGCTCTTTTCACCTGTCAGTCTGCTCCACGGGCCCCGGACCCCCGTTTTTGATCCAGACTCTTTTAAAGTTAGCAGGGGTGTAGAGGAGGCCATTGTTTCCTGTGAAAGCAGATCACAGCAATGGAACTAATCCCACCGTTAAAATAATGATTAGAGTAACAGGCCAACGCCATTAACGACCCCTTCTGTTCAAATGCCATTTAGGAGCTGTTTTTCTTCTATGCTTTCGTTCCTTTCAGTCAGGGATGGTTAGGGTGATGAAGAAAGCAATAGGCTTCTGTTCTCACTATCATGCCGCCTACAGAACAACAGAGAGAGAGAGTGAAAGACTGGCGCAATTACACCCGCCCCCCAGTAACTCATGGCAGTTACGCATGACCTCGGAGGTCAGCATGTGTTCATTTATGTGCCTGTACTTAAATACTTGGCCTTTTTTCATCAAACAGCTGAATTAGATCTGCGGAAATGATTAATATCATGCCCATATGCTTGAAAATTCTTCTAAAACAGATACTAAATGCAATTCTGTATACTGTAGTTGGCTGTGACACTGTCTGCTTTGATTTAAAGAGGAACATTATGTAACACAAGGTGATTTTACAAAAACTTATGCCTCAATATTGATAAAGCACGAAGGTTTTCCAGTGTTACACGGAATCACCACCATAAATCTTCCAGCTGCTCTGCATCCATTCCACCTTTTTAAAAAATATGTCTGCTTTGAAATGCATGAGTAATATTCATAAGCAGAAGACATAAGAGAAAGCCTGTCAGCCATTTAAAAAGAGGCCCAGTACTTGTTAGAGAGAGAAAACCATCAATCAGCTGGAGGAGTGAAAGATCAGACCAGTTACTAACTGACTGTCACGTTAACTGATGTGGAATGCGGTCAGCAATGGGATGGACTATATGGACGACAAAATGCAAAAATATAACATAATACAACCCCATATGTATATGATATTCAATACCATTCAAAAGTTTGGGGTCATTAAGATTTAAAAAATATAATTTTATAATATATAAAAGACAGAGACTGGTGCTTAAGAGCCAGCTTTTACATCACAGGAATAAATTGCATTTTAAAATATATTCAAATAGGACACAATTATTTTAAATTGTAATAATATTTCATAATATGACTGTTTAACTCAGTGTTTCTCAACCTCTCCTGCAGGGACCCCCTGACAGGCCATGTTTTTGTTTTAACTCTGAAATGGCACACCTGATTCAAGTAATTAAAGGCTTAATGAGTAATTAGAGTAGGAATAGTTCAATTAATCAATTAGTCAACTACTCATTAAGCCTTTAATGACTTGAATCAGGTGTGCCATTTCAGGGTTAAAACAGAAACATGGCCTGTCAGGGGGTCCCTGCAGGAGAGGTTGAGAAACACTGGTTTAACTTGTATTACAAATACATGAAGCCTTTGTGTGCATAAGAGGCGTCTTTCAAAAATATTTAAAAATCATACGGACCCCAAATATTTTAACAGTAGTGTATAAAATCACCACATTGATAGTTAAAAAAAAGATTTTCAAATACATGTCAAAGTGAGTCTTTGCATATATTATTGAATATCACTGAAATAAGTGTATTTTTTTCTTTTAATTAGGTTGGGATGACAAGTTAGTGTAACATAATCCCACTTGTGTTCAGTTAACAACAGCGAAGTTAGTTACTAACAGTTGTGTTAGGCGGATCAAGTTCAGAATTTAGTATGGTTAACTCCATTTGTGCCATAATGTGCCTTTAATGCTCAATCACCCACACTAATAACTAAAACTAGTTGTTTTTGGTTAGGTTAGCAATATGTTAACTAGATCCAAATACTTAACAGAATTTAAAAGAATTAAGGTTAAGTTACTCAAGAGTTCTGCCAGTTAGTCACTATCACAGTGATGTTGAGTTAACCTTCGGGTAACTTAGTTTGGCGGAGAAACTTTCGCATAATCCCTTATCTAAATAAAAACAATTGCTGGATTAGGCAGGGTTAATGTTCATGAAAAGACAACAATGCTCCAGAATTATAAGGAAGTTGAATGATGAGAATGACCTCTGAACTGCTCTGTACACAAATCTTATTCACACTCACATGCACACATCAATATATTCTCCTACCCTTTTCATAAATATATGCACATGAACATAAGCGTGCACACACCTTTGTTGCCCCTAGCACACATATGCATGCACACACATGCAGACTTTACTTTCAATATGAAACTTTACCTTTCTGTAACTGTACTTCATCAGACAAAAAGAGTGTGACAGAGGGAGAGAGAGAGAGGAAGAGAGGAATCTGAGCTCTATCCAAAGTAAATGAGGTGTAAACGGGAGTTTTTTCATCAGGGAGCAGTTATCAAAGCAGGGGTGGGTGGGAGAAAGAGGCGGCGGGCGGCACAAAGGCAGTTAAACACTGAAAAGGGCCATTTCATGCATACTAGTACAGTGATGATGGTATCAGATGGTGATACTCTGGTACTCTGATATATGCAATGTTCTGAATCGTTATCATATTCATATTGTATATGATCCAAACGTCTAAGATCATTTAAACCTGGAAATAAATGAATTTTTAGGATATAACAAATCTAAATTAAAGGACAAAACAAGAATGGAATTGTAGTACAGATGACAACGAAGATCTTCTCGTTAATGTGTGTGTGTTCAATGTGCTGTACTGTTTTAAGTCTGTCATATAGCTCTATACCTATAGTCTATCTATAGCTACTAGACTTTTTTGTCCTCTGGAATCACGTGTTTTTTTGGTTTAAATGTTTTATTTAATAAGGATAACAACTAAAATTGTGTCTCTCACCTCCCCCTTTTTCACGCACATCATGTTAAATAGGCAACTGCAAATGGCAGGAGGAATAGTGCCAGAGAGGAAGGGTTATTTTATTTTTGGCCACTCTTCAGTAATGACGCATTAGGGGTGAGAGAGAAGCTGCCCAAATTGAAATGACAAATAAAAACAAATACATGAAACCAGTCGGAGGTACTTTTGAGGCCTCGCTTCTTCTATAAATCAATGTCTCCAGTGTGTATGTCCGGGGGTGTTGAATGGTTGGAATATTAGGACAGGTAGTTTACTTTGGCTCACACTAAAGGGAATTGCCTGTGAGCAAAGAGACCACACACATTCTACCACAGCCCCCTCTGCTGGTCAAGAGGATGAACTGCAGCTTTGTCTGGGTCAGACTTCTGTTCTGTGCCATTCACTTAGAGATAGAAAGATAAGAGAGATAAGAGACAGAGAGAGAGAGAGTATGTGTGAGATTAAGAGATTAAAAGATAGGATCTTCTCCTTACACTGAGTCTACATTGAGAGAGCGCTCCCATTTTGATAAAAAAAACAGTATTGCGCGGACAACCAATCATGAACTAAACTGCCTCATTAATATTCACGAGCTTTGAGCAGGATCTGAGAGAGCAGCAGTTGAAGGGTTAGTTGTTCAGACAAAAATTAAAATTCTGTCATTACTCGCCTCATGTCGTTCCAAACCCATAGGACATAAGTTCATCTTTGGAACACAAATGAAGATATTTTAATGAAATCTGAGAGCTTTCTGTCACTCCATTGACAGCCTACGCAACTACCACTTTTAAGCACCAGAAAGGTAAAGACATCATTAAAGTAATCCATGTGACTCATGTGGTTTAACCCCATTTTCATGAACAATGAGAGTGCTTTCTTTGTGCAAAAACCCCCCAATTTATCACTTTATTAAAAACTATTTATCTCCAACGCACATTCATGCAACAACGTGAATGCAATTCTTGCATTAACAACACGTATGTGTCATGGTGCTCTCATGAACAGGCATGCGTCCTGTGAACACGTGTTTTAGCCTATTCTAATAGCCTATTCTAGAAACTTAAAATATGACCCATCCAATAGTAAAGTATTACAATTTGAAATATGTTATGAAATAGCTTTGGAAATGACCCTGGATAAACAATTTCAAGTGTGAAAAGCCCAGAAGCTATCTAAACTGTCCGTTTGTGATGTCCAAAGTGATCTTAATACAGACAGAACCTCAACTTGATAAGAGGCTGTTGAACCATCTATAGAACAGGCGACTGAGAGCACGTTAACTCTAACATTATATCACATTATTGTGATCATGAGTAACAAGTCTTCTTTCACATCGGAAAAAAACCCCTCAGAACAGCAGAGACTGGATACCTCCCAAACAGCATAAGGAAATAATTCCCTCCTTTAGGGAGCAAACAGCCTGACATTCTCAATAAATGCTCTGTAATTATGCAATCAGAGAAAGTTTCGGGCCACAGTTAACAAATAAAAGAGGTTCTGTTTTGTGCTTTTCAGAGAGCAGACTTTAGCCTATTTGATTAGAAGTTTCATCTGATGGATTAATAAACTAGTAGTACAAATTTCATATTTTGAAAAATTTGGGGTAAAATGTACCCCCCCCCACACACACACACACACAAAAAAAAGTGCTTAAGCACAACTGACTTCAACATTGATAATAATAATAAATGTTTCTAATCAAATAAATGCAGCCTTGGTGAGCATATGAATATTACCGTCACAAATGTTTGAACTGTGTTTATTACAATAATAATAATTTATTATTATATTATTTATACATGTTTTAAAGTCTTACACATGGTACTTTTTTGTGCGTGGCACTGCATAGATTTTTAGAATTACAGACAATTCATGTGTAAAACCTCTCCTCCCTAATTCATCACAGTATTCCCCCCTAGTTTTTAGGGAAAATGTGCTTAATTTTCATAGAAAAAATAATCATTTTAATAGTAATAATCTTAATTGTTATAAAAACAGGACTCATTTTCTGTTGATTTTGGGGTTAAACGTGACTTGGACCTGTAATAATTATTTGACATTTGGCACAGGAGTAAATGAGGTCCCAAATAAACTGTTTCTCTCCTCCTAGTCTTCCTCTTTGGATGAAGTTTGATAGAACAGCGCACATTTTTGAGTCTGTGAACAGGGAAGCACTTCTCAGCAAGCAACTTCCCAAAGCTCTGCCTCTGCTAATCAGGTTTACTACACCATTTATCTAGTGTTCTAGTACTCAAGGACAGCTCTGTGGCGAGGCCTACGGCAAGGAGATTTACAGATCAAACAAAGATGCCCAGTGCCATGTTGAGAAATCACTCTTCACGAGCTCCAACCATGTTTGCCTTTCTCCCCGTTCAAAAAAATTGTCAAAAATTGTTGTTTAAATTGGCCAGCGCCACATATCCCTTCCAATTCCCTTGAAGATGGTGTCTGATTGAAGTGACATGCCAAACCTCTGGCCTCCTGCCCTTCACCACAAATCCTGGTCAGAGCAGGATTGGGATCTATATATGGCTCTAATAGACCTCATCACGTTTCATTACACGGAAAATTACAGAAATGCAAAATCCTTCAACCACTTCCAGTTCAGCAGAATCCTGTTTATAGACCGTAAAAGACCATGAAGTGAAAATGCTCCTCTTGGAGTTTTTTTTTTTATTGCTGGAGGTACCAAAGCTTTTTGAAGTGTCTGAGGTTTTTTACAGGCTTAATTTATTCGGAAATGTGGCTACAGAGTCATGAAGAGATCAGCACATTATTGCAAACTTAGACCTTTTGGAAAGCCCTTTGGATTTAATACATTGGCAGCTCCTACATGCAACAACAATCCACATAATCTGTTAATTAGGACTAACTTAAAACTTATGACCCAGCAAACATTTTAAAGCAATATCTTTTTATTAAAAACAAACATATAGAAACCTTTTAGGATTTTTGCATGACGGCTAATTCACAACTTCAATAATGATAAGAAAACAAACAGTTAGTAAGTTGTCAAAACCCGACTCTTTGATATAAACGGAGCTTGCATGCAGGCAGATATAACAATGCAATATGATATTTTCCGTGTCTCCTCAGTTTTGTGTGTGATGGGCAGTAAGTTGTGGGAAGTGCCCACCGCCCCCCTCGTACCCCATGCCAACCTCAGCACGAGACTGTTGTGGGAGCCACAGTGCCAGGTTCAGCTACGCCATCTACAGAATGAAGGAAGAGTCACAGCCACCATACCACCCAAACTGGAGGGCCACTGGGTGTCAAGCAGGTAAGAGGCCCCTAGAAATACTTTTCTACTTTTAAAGTCAACATGAATTAAAATTTCACCCAAATTATGTTCTTAATATAGAATCCTGGCATTATTGCGAATGATTCATCAGTGCACGGCATGCATATTACCACTGCTGAGAAGTTGAGTAAAGTCAAGCAACTTGTTCAGTAAATCTTTAAAAACAATGGCTACCTTGAAATATTTAACAAATTGTCCACTACCGTACAGAAGTTTGGGGTTGGTAAAATTAAAAAAAAAAATCGTATTAAGACAGTAAAAACAGTATTATTGTGAAATAGTATTAATAAATGTTTTCTATTTTAATATATTTTAAAATGCAATTTATTCCTGTGATGCAAAGCTGAATTTTCAGCATCATTACGCCAGTCTTCAGTGTCACATGATCCTTTAGAAATCATTCTAATATGATGATTTTCTGCTCAAAAACTTTATTATTATCAATGTTGTTGCACTGCTTATTTTTGTGCAATTTGTGATACTTTCTTTAATTCTTTGATGAATAGAAAGGTTAAATAAACAGCATTTATTTGGAATAGACATTTTTGTTACAATGTGAAAGTCTTTACTGTCACTTTTGATGAATAAAAGTATTAATTAAAAACAAATCTTACTAACTCTGACTTTTAAATGGTAGTGTAGCACTTTAAGGGGACAATATGTGTATACATTTGAAACTATCAGATAGTATTGAATGTTGCAATTATCTGGTAAAACAAAGAGTTTTAAATTTTACAATAAATACTAAAAAGCAAGTCCCATCCTACATTTTGTCTCATTAAACATCCGGTTTCACTTGGAAATGCATCAGATTATGGGAATAAAATGATTTGCAATTGCCATATTGACTAACTTCCTGACTATATTTGTTATTTTCTTCTCAGATGTGAAGTGCGACCCGGTCCTGAATTCCTCACTCGATCCTACTCATTTTACCAAAGCCCCACACGTCTCTTCAGGGCCCTCCAGCACTATTACTCTGACAGTGATTGCCACATCCCAACCTACTCTCTTGTGATCAGGGGTAAACTGCGGCTACGTCAGGCCTCATGGATCACCCGTGGAGCCACTGAAGCAGAGCACCACCTCCATAAAGTAGGGATGGTCTTTCACACCCAGAAAGCCATCCATCATCTCGCGACTCGCCTGCCCTCGTGGCTCAAAGTTGGAGGACACCTGGTGCCTCATCACTTCTATGAACTCTTTAATGCCAAAGCAGAGAAAGACTGCCTGGGAGCTCTTGGCTTCTCCATGATGGAACTGGAGTTGCTGCGGGTGGAGACCCATCACCATCCTCACAGCAGGCCGGCTCAGGAGCTGTTCCTAGGGGACGTGCACACAGACTGGAACGAAAGGGTGCACCATAGACCGACTGGTTACCAGGAGCCTCTACAGAATGCTATGGTGAGAGTAAAAGAGAAAAAAATCTGTCACCATTTACTCACTCTCCTGATGTTCCAAACCCATAAGACTTAGGTAAATCTTTGAAAAACAAGATCATTTTTAATAGGAGTGTAACAGTACACCGAAGTCACGGTTTGGTACGTACCTCGGTTTTGGGGTCACGGTTCGAAACGAGTTTCGGTAAATTTACATGTACATGTCTTCTTCTGCTCTTTTTCCTGTTGTGGCGGTTAGCAAACAGCGTTGTGTTGCATTACTGCGCGCGCCCCCTTCTGGATTGGAGTGTGGATTGCCTGTGACTGACTGTATTCGTCGTCTGACTATATACACCGAACCATGACGTCAGTACCTTGATGGTTCGGGATAATACATGTACTATTTCACCCCTAATTTTTAATGAAACCTGAGAGGTTTCTGTCCCTCCATTGAAAATCCAGGTATTCAAAACTGAAAAGAACCAAAAAGGTTATAAAAGTGGCGTAAAATGAATCCATGTAAATCGAGCGGTCTTCTAATTTTTGGGTAAACTATCACTTTTTAGACTAGAGTATTTTTGCTCAAACTGCTTAGGTCTGCTAAAATGTTTAAAATGATGAACTTATAGTATATCATGTTGTGCCACCTGACTAAGGTAAGAGTGCATGTTAAATATATATAACAGGACTGCGTATTCACTACAGTCAATGTAAAGCAAGCAAAAATAAGGTTAGAAACAATCAAGAATGCAGATGCTTACATATATAGTTTATATCCGGTCCAAATGTTTAGGGGTTGGTAAGATTTTTTGATGTCTTTGAAAGAAGTCTCACTAAAGGCTGGATTTACTTGACCAAAATACAGCAAAAACAGTAATACTGTAAAATATTATTACAATTTAAACTGTTTTCTATTTTTAAATGTAAGTTTTCTGATTGTAGAATTTTCAGCATCATTGCACCAGTGCATCAGTGTCACATGATGCTTCAGAAATCATACTTATATGCTAATTTGCTGATCAAGCAACTTTTAATTATCACTGTTGAAAACGGTTGTGCTGCTTAAGATTTTTGAGGGAACCATGCTACATTTTCTCCTTGATGTATAAAGCTTCAGAAGAGCAGCATTTATTTGAAATAGAAATCTTTCACAACATTACGAATGTTTTTACTGTCACTTTTGATCAATTTAATGCATTCTTGCTCAATAAATGTATTAATTCCTTAAAAAAAAAAATCTCACTAGCCATGTTTCCATCCACTTGTCAATCGAATTATCTGAAGTTCGGTAAAAAACCTCATGCGAATAAAGCTGGTGAAAGTGTGTTTCCATCAAACGGCTTTAAAGCGGATAAAAACCTGTGCGTAATGACGTCACATGCTGTTTTGCGATCAAATTGGTATATCGAATTGATTTGAGGCATGTTAAGGTGTTTCCATTCATTTTCTCACCGAATTGCACAACATTCAAGCCAACATTTGCGAACAAAGTTTTACTAGGCAAAATGGATCGCACCATAATAACGTTTCCATCCGCGTTCGTTTATCGCATAAGCCGTATATCCATCAAGATAAAATCTGATGAGACCGATCGTATTTCATTTGAGTCGATATTCATGAATTTCAATCGAATTTTACTGTTTCCATAAGGCATCTTTCATTCGATATCACTTAATGCGGATAAAAACGTGTGGATGGAAACATAGCTACTGACACCAAACATGTGAATCCTGTAATAATATAAATATTATAAAATTAACAAAAATCCTTGTTTTGTCTCTCAGCACCACATCCACCCATGCCCAGTGTGCGCCCTGGTATACCGAGCCTCTGAACAGAATCCACCCATTCTTCCCCCAACCCCCTCCGTCCCTCTGGATCTAAACGGAAATTGGGTGAGCCAACGCTGCGAGTCCCGTCCATCCGTCCTCTTCCTTACCCGCCTTTTTGTTTTCAACGAGGAGCGACGCACTTGGGAGGGGACCTACCAACATTACTCTGACCCAATGTGCCGCCAGCCCATCTTTACATTGTTGGCATCAGGTCATTATGCTAAAGTAGGACAGTCGGTTAAAGTACGTGGGGCCACTGAGCTCGTCTTCAAGGTGACACGAGCAAATGCGATTGTGTTTGACCGTGCATTGTTGCGGGAACTGAATTCAACGCAAAATGGAGGATGTGGACAGGCGGGCAGGTGGGAGGTGGGTGTCGAGCAGGACGTAACCTGGACGGACGGTTGCGAGGCATTGGGGATACGACTTCCGCACAAAGAGTATGAGCTGTTTAAGATGGGGGTGGATCATAAAGGGCGCCCCCTGTTGTTCAATGGGGAAAGGCCCACGGATGGATCCAGCCCGGATCGACCTACAAAAAGGCCAACATCTTTTCAGACACCAATGGTGCAATGCAGCACAAGGGTCGGGGTGGAGCCACGCTACAGTTCCTACAGTGATCATTCAACGGGACCCAAGACCACAAGCTCTGCTAATGCACTGCACTCTTCATTGATTCTGCTGTCCGTTCTAAATGCATGGTGCTGGAAGATTCATCTTTTCTAAAAATGCGACGTGCTATTCACGTTGACTGTTCAAATTCTGACCCGTTTATAATGGGCATAGCACAATCTAATAGACTGATCGGTCAGTTCGGTGCTATGACAAAATGCTAGCTGTAAATGCTCTGAAATATGACTTTTTTTATCTAAAGAGATTTTCATAAATCAAAAATGTACATAGAAACCTTTTAATCATATAGTATATCAACATTCATTTTAATATCTGTTATTTGGGGTGTTGTTTCCTATTTTGATAAGAACTACAGATAAACGAACATCTATTCAAAGAATGATTGTTCTGTAGAAAATGCATTTACCAACATTCCAGCAAGATAACAAAGATGAACAGTTAAAGGCGAAGTACTTTAAATACTTCCCAGTGTACAACCAATGGTGCGATTTTGGGCGGGACTATCTGTGTGACCGACCAATGGGAGGTGGGGGTGTTTGGGGAATCTGTTTCAAAACAATCATTATTCTGTTTGGTGCAGAAATGACACACTTCAGCTTTAAGACATGGGAGATATAGATGGATATCCAGATTCCCGTTTGTCTGGGAATGAAGAAAGAAGATTTCCCAAAATCTGGTAATACGTTTGAATTGAAGTGCGTACATGGACTAAATTTGGCATTAACTACCCTGTATTATTACAAGGCGACGTAGCTCATTTTTGCCATCTTATACATTTTATTTAGAGTTAATCTTCCAATAATGGTGAGGGTGAACATATTTATTGCCACCATTAAAGTAATTTTGATAAGAAAAACAATCTTGTTTTATTTTGAACATTAATCTTCTGTTATTTATGTTTACACACATAGTACACTACAAATGTATAATGTGTGACTGGATGCACGTTTAGTGAACTCTTGCACAATGGTTCAATTCATATCCAATGTTGAATACATGTGCAATACATTTGAACAGACCTGTCATATGGCTTCCACATTATGCTCACGCTCGCCAATATCTGAAGCGTAAGTTCTCAGAACTCTGCGTACAAATCTCTCCCTCTGTTTATTTGGAAGAACAGGAAGTGTTCAACTCATTCAGTCTTAGTTTAGCAGAGCGTGCGATTTTCTGTTTTTACAGAGTGGAGTGATTCCTTGTTCTGGAGGCAATCTTAAAAAAAATCAGAACTGAAACTGTCAAACATTAAAGTGCATGCATGATATTGATTGTTATAGTTTTGACACGACCCTTACAAAAATGCACCATAGTAGCCATTGTTTCCAAAATACCAAATTTGGCATTAACTACCCTGTATTATTTCAACATTGGTTTATATGGTTTTACAGTACAAAAAAATAGCTGTAGTTACAATGCTTTTTATTGGAAACCAGTTACCATTATAAAATGTTATAATAGAATCCTGAGGTAAGTGCATAAGTATTAATGCATCAGTTAATATATACAACATGGTGAACGTGATTTCAAAATCTTTGTTGATCCTGGAACAACATTCAACCAATCAGATTTAAGGGACAAGTTTACTGTTAATGTCAAGTTTAGGCTTATATACAACCAGGGTTAGATTCTTCTACATCAGTTTTATCCACCTATAATTTCCCTCAGATTTTATGGATATGGGTAGGGTTAAGTTTAGGGCAAGATTTTCGGACTGGAATTTTGTTCCAGGATCAACAATGTATACTTGTCGATCTGAACATGTCTGTCTTGGCAAAAATCACAGTGACCATACGACACAGTCAATTACAAAATAATCAAAGATTCTAGACACTCAACTCATGTTCACAGAAAAATCCCATCTGTTCCTCTTTTACAAACTGATTTTTTCTTCAATAATGAGAACCTTTCAAGAGCATGTGCTGACTTGATGATAGGATATGCTTCTGTAAAAGTTATTTACAATGATTTGTGAAGAACTACACTACCCATGATCCCGAACAGACCACCAGTCAGAGAAGACACTGTTACCATGGAAACAGCAAATACCAAGAAATTACAGCAAAAGAACATCAACATTCACCCAAGGTCTTTCTACAGTCTCAAACTACTTATCTTTCACTATGTATCCAAATATTTTCAAACACTATATAATTTATATATACTGTACAGTGTTTTTAGTGCTTTTTAAGCCATATTTCCTCATGGGTTACAAACTTTTCTTTTTTTTCAATTTCCAAATTTTTGGGTCATATTAAAATGTTGCAAATTCTTATCAAATTGGTGGTTTGGTTTATAGCCTTTAACTCCATTAAAAAAACTTCAAAATCCCTATGGAGAATGCAGAATACAGAACCAAATTAAGGCACTAACATTTTTTCGCAGTCACGGTTGTCTCGTGTATAAAAATAAAAATCTGCTTGTATGCAACAGTGACAATCTTATTAATCAAAGATGTTCTCAACATGTGCACTTGCCAGATAACAGCCAAACCCAGAGTTCAAACCTAGCAGACATGAAGGATTTGGGGTAATCCTTAATTTTGCGACGTTCATGTTCGCAAAGCCTTAAAGAGATAGTTCACCCAAAAATGAAAATTCTTTCATTAATTACTCACCTTCATGTTGTTCCAAACCTGTAAGACTTTTCTGTCCCTCCATTGACAGCAACACAACTACCACTGTGACGCTTCAAAATCTTCATAAAGGGATCGTAAAACTAATCCACATGAAGGGATCATAAAACTAATCCACATGAATTGAGCGGTTTAGTCCAAATTTTCTGAATAGACTTGATCGCTTTACAGTGTATGATGAACAGATTGAATTTAGGCTTTTATTCACACACTGTAAACATTGATCAGCGAACATAAACAGAAGCTAACTGAACCTGCGTAACACATGAGAATGAACCTCATTGGTTCTTACAGAAGCTCAAACGTTCTGCTTAACACGTGAGAATGAACCTCATTGGTTCTTCTTGCTGAACCTCAAACGAGCAAAACACACGAGAATGTGCTTGAGAAACATGCTTGAGCTTCCGTTTACCACAACTGATGTGTGAGTTGATGAATGTTTACAGTATATGTGAATAAAAGCCTATATTCAATCTGTTCATCATATAAAACGATCAAGTCTCTTCAGAAAATTTGGGTTAGTTTTACAATCTCTTTATGAACTTTTTAAGCGTCAAAGTGTCGGTTGCGTAGCTGTCAATGGAGGAACAGGAAGCTCTCAGATTTCATCAATAAGATCTTCATTTGTGTTCCGAAGATGAACGAAAGTCTTACAGGTTTGGAACAACATGAGGGCGAGTAATTAATAACAATTTTAAATTTTGGGTGAACTATCCCCCTAATAAGCAATGTCATTACCCAACTGCATGTCATATAGCCAACCCTTACCCAAAATACTCCAGTGACTTCCGCTTGCTACTTCATTTGTTTTTACTTACTTCAAGCTATGTCATTAAAACCATCTGCAGGCATATTCCTGTTAAACAACTCTTTTGGAATCATAAAATGATTGAGTTTGTGGTTTTTCTGTTAAAAGTTATGAAATAATGGTTGCTGGCCGAGGGACGTAACGGAAGAGAACGCGGAGGGCAAGGCAAGTCAGTGAGTCGCATCCAAAAGGCAGCAGATTGTTCATATTAAATCTTGTCGGTGACGGTGGCTCTGGGTGCCATGAGGTAATGCTTTCTGGTTATAACAAGAGTTCCGAAGGTTGGGATTGGGAACTTGGAAATAATAAATCGAGAGAGGGAGAACAAGGCACATTTCCATACTGACACTCAAAAGCAGTTGCGTCTGTTAGAGCTTGCCAACAACAACAGATGAGTCCAAGCTAACTCTAGAAGTCCAGCGAAACGGATTAAAAATAAGCGACAATTCTTTCTGTGGTTACAGTTAAACTAATACAAGCTAACTGTCAGAAAATCATATTGCAAAAAGGCCTTCGGCTTGTAATCACGCTTCTTGCTTGTCAAAAGAATCTATAAAAAGATTTAACACAAGGCCTATTTTACACTGTTCAATGAAAAGTTACGAAGCATAACAGCGTGACTGTGTCCTAGTTACAATGTCTTTGCTCCATGCTCCACTGCTCCAATTATTATTGCTAATGGGATGGGCGTACTTTGATCATTGGCTCTTGTGATCAAAAGCAACACACTAGAGCTGCCGTAGTGGGTCAGGATGACAAAATAAACCGGCTTAAGAACTTTTAAAAAGGGAGGAGAAACATTTTCCAAGTCTTTTGTTGTTGACATCAAAGGCCGTGCGCATTTGCCACTGGTAGAAGCGAACTAAGTAGCGTGACATCCTCAAAAACCACGACCAAAACTACACAAGGTGAACAAAAACATGACCCAAACTGCATTCAATCCACTTGCAAAGCGGATGAACATGGAAAGTGCACTGTGTGGTGAAGACCAGGTAAAGTATATGCGATTACAATTCAAGAGATGTTTCAGTAAGTTAGTAAGATTTTTTAAAAGGAAATTAACACTTTCATTCTAAAAGGATGCATTAAATGTATCAAACATGCATTTAGAATGTTACAAAAGATTCCTATTTCAAATAAACACTGTTCTTTTGAATGTTCTATTTACCAAAGAATCCTGAAAAGAAAAATGCATCACAGTTTCCACAGAAATATTAAAACTGTTTTGAACATTGATAATAATAAGAAATGTTTCTTGAGCAGCAAATCCGCATATTAGAATGATTTCTGAAGGATCATGTGACACTGAAGACTGGAGTAATGATGCTGAAAATTCAGCTTTGCATCACAGGAATAAACTACATTTTATATTCAAATAGAAAACAGTTATTTTTAAATTGTAATAATATTTCAGAATATTACTAGCCTGGGAAAACCCAGACAACTTCCGGCAAATTTAGATTTGCTCTGAAAGTTAGTCTGGCAAAGAGCTCATTCAAGCCCATTTCCAATCCGTCGAAATCGAGGCACCAATCAGAAACGTTGGGGCGGGCTTTACACGATGACGACAGCGCTGGGATTTTGAACATGATTTTGTAGCCTACATTACAAAGATGGATGCCGCCGTCGAACATCACTCGTTCGAATCAGCTATCGCGCCTGTTTTAAGCCATTTGAACGTTTCCTTTTTGTTAAAAACCGAGCAAAGAACAACACTCGGAGATGTTTCTCCACCGCTCTGCATACGTCATCTCCTTCATCGCTCTGATTGGTTTTAGGTCTATCCGCGACGTCCGTTGGTGACGCTCCTCTGGAAATGATTTGTCTATGACGCTTTGCCAGACCATAACTCAGTTACAACTGAGAATGGTCTGGTTTTAACCAGGCTAGAATATTACTGTATTTTCATTAAAAAATTCAGCCTTGGTGAGCATGAGACATCTTTCTTAAAATTTTTTTAATAATCTTACCGACCCCAAACGTTTCAATGGTAGTGTACATCATGTTAATAATTTTGCATATTTTGGACTGTGCAGTTTAATAGTAATACATTTCAATATTGATATTAAGGAGATTTTTGCTTACTTTTATACAATAGATCATTCTGGTGTTGATTTGACACTCGATGTTCACTTTAAAATCAGGAAATTAAAAAATAATACATGCACATCTACAAATAGCCTCATGATGGATCAGCTATAAAACAGCAATCAGCCATAAAACAATGTTTAATTTTTGAATGCTGAATAAGTGTTTTGGTTTCATGCATTGCAAACATAAGAGTGCGCTTATGTATC